AAAAGTCAAAATCTTAAAATCCAAGTCAAAATAGCTATATCTTTTAAATTATAAATATATATATATATATATATATATAGAAAAATAATTATACCACTGAAATCTTAGATATCATAAATAGAAAGATAGGCTAATTCAAAATCTAAAAATATTAATGCCAAAAAATCAAACTCACCCTTGTAATTCTAAATCCTCAATCCCTATTATCCTAAATCCTAAACCTTCCAACACAATCATCAACCACCAACTCTCCATCACAATCACCAATCATTAACCATCACTTTGGTCTTAACTAATCCAATTTAAGGATTTAGGCTAAGATTTGTACCATCAAAGGTTACAACCTTCAAAATTCTACAAAATTAGATTTTATTTATGTAAGTCATATTCCAACTTGTTCAATTATCACAATATAAAGAAAAAATAAAAATAAAAATTTTAAAGCATAATTAAGAGCTCACACTTGTTTGTGAAGAAAAAAGATGGATTTTTATGAATGTTCATAGGTTATCGAGGATTTAACAAGATCACTATCAAGAATGAATATCTTTTATCTTTGAATTTAGGATTTCTTAATCAACTCAATCAAAAAAAGATCTATCCAAAAATAGATCTACAAAGAACATACAATTTGATCTACATCAAAGAAAGAAATGAATTAAAGACTTTTTTTTGAATTATATATGGATATTTCTAATATAATAACATGCCTAAATTTTAATGCACCAACTGCTTTTTAACATTTTTTGGATGACATTTTCGATAAGTTTTTTCGATGATTATATCATTTATTATTTAAATGATATTTTAATCTATTCTAAGGACATAAAAGAATATGAACTTTATGTTTGTTGTGTATTACAAAAACTTAGAGATATAGGATTATATCCCAAGATATAAAAGTATATATTCTACACTACTCAAGTTGATTTCTTAAGATACATTATTTCTAATGAAGGCCTTATGATGGATCCCAAGAAGGTTCAAACTATTATGGATTGGAAGATTTCCAAAATATTCAGAGATGTGCAATGTTTTTTGAAATTTTCTAATTATTATTGGATCTTTATCAAGATTTTTTTTTTAAGTTGCATATCTTCTTACTTGTTTGACTTATAAAGACAAACTTGAATAAAGCAAAGAAGTTGAAGCATCTTTGGAAGTCTTAAAGACAACATTTATTTTTGTATCAATCTTATATCACATTGATTATTTCAAGGTATTTCTTATAAAAATAAATGCATTAGATTTTGCTATAGGTGTTGTTTTGTCACAAATAGGAAGAAATGACAAGCTCTACTTGGTAGCTTTTTATTTCAAGAAATTTTCAACAGTTGAGATTAAATATAAGATCTAAAAAAAAGTGCTTCTTGCAATCAAAGAATCATTTTAAGAATAACTTCATTATTTAAAAAGTGCATCTAGTCCAATTATCATATATACAAATCATAAGAACCTCAAGTACTTCATGTTGGTACATATTTTGAATTGTCACTAAGTCCATTAGAACTTGTTTTTGTTAAGATTTTTATTTTAAAATCACTTAAAAAATAACAAGGTTTATCAAACACCTTTTTTAGATACTTTTATCTTACACCAAAAAAACAAAATGTAGCTTTTAACCAATAAAATATAATTTTCTTGAAGCTAGAGCATTTCATCTTTGAGCAATGAAATCAACATTTATTATTCATTCAAACTTTTCAAGCAAGTTCAATTAAGTATGTCCTTTAATCCTCTTGTTTATGATATTAAGAATAATTCTTTTAAGTATCATGATACTTCTAAGTTCAAGTTCAAGAATATGTTACATCATTTTGAAGGATGATTATACATTCAAAAAGGAAAAAATACAATTATCTATTCTTTAAACTAGTCACAAGTTTTCAGCAACCAAACATTTTAGATAGAACAAAACTTTGGAGCTAATATCTAAAGATTATTGGTAGCTTCAAATGTAGGAGGCATTCAAAGACTTTGAACAATCATGCGACATTTGTTTAAGATTAAACATTCCTCTTAATCGTTCTTATGGACTTCTTCAGCCATTACACATTTCAAAACAACCATGGTCTATTTTTTCTATATATTTTATCCCTTGTCTCATATTTATATGATTAGACATTTGTAATAGTAGATCATTTTATCAACATGGTGCATTTTATACCATAAAAAAAATCTACCACAAATAAAGAAATAACAAAGTTTTTCTTGAAAAAATTTAATACTTTTGAGGAGAGTTCAAAGATATTATATTAGTAAGAAAGACTCAATTTATATCAAGATTTTTGAAACTCCTTTCTAAGATTTTAAAAATAGAAATAAAGCTATTTTAATCTTTTATTTTCAAATTAATAGACAAATGGAATATATTAAAGACGTTTTAGAACTATGTTTAAGATATACTATCAACTACCAACAAGATGATAAGACAATTCATTTGACATTGACAATTTTTTTTTATAATAACAGAATATATTTTTCTATGTAATAAATACTTTTCTATTATTAATTATGGTTATCATCTATAATTTGATGTTTTTGACTTTTCAAAAGTTAATAATCCCGCAACAAAAGATTTGGTGAATCATTTATCTGAGCTACATATAATAATGAAGCTACAACCATAAAAAGCTCATAAATAATAAAGGACCAATGTGGATGCCTATCACAAAGAACAACTTCAATTCTATGTTATTAATAAGATATGATTGCTTCATCACAATATTAAGTCTAGCCATTCTTCTAACTAGTTGGATTACCTTAAGTTTAGACCATTTCCTATTTGTAAAAGAACCAATCATGTTGCTTATTGGTTATATCTACCAAAGTCTATGAGATTTCATCCCATATTCTACATATTTCTTTCTAAATAATATGAAATAGTGAATATTTCAAAAAAAAAGACAAATGCCAACTCTTCCTATAGAAGTGGATAATAATGAAGAACTTGAAATGGAAGAAGTCTTAGATTCAAGGTAGTAGCAAAATAATTTAAAATATCTTGTTCATTGGTATAGATATAATATTAATAAATGTACATAGAAGTCAACAAAAATCTTGCAAATGTAAGAAAAGGGATTGATGCTTTTTATTAATGACATTAATCAAGATCAAAATAGAAGATAAAAAAAATATTATAAAAGAAACAAGATCTAAAAAAGATAGCATTCTAACTTTTATCTTTGTTTCTAATTTTTTATAATTGTGGCACTAAGGAGATAGAGAATCAACAACAAGCAAATTCAATTCAAGAATTATTATTTATTCACTTACTAGATTAGATATTACAATTGTTACAACTTTTAAGATGACACAATCAAATTGAAGATCCTAAAGAATGAGCTATTTTTCTTTGAATAGATGGTAAGATACAATGTATTTGGTATCATGACCTTGGAAGAGACTTCCAATGTTTGGTGATTTTATTAGAGATAGGAAAGTTTCATAACAATATTTCAAATATTTTCTTTTTGAAGGAATTTATGAAGGCCTTAATACTGATCAAATAACAAGGTAGTCTTCTCACCCTAGTTTGAAATATTATTAATAGCTGAGATGACCTATCACCAATCTTCAAAAACAACAAAGATCAAACTATCTACCAAACATGATTCTCTACAACTTAAAATTTTTCAATCTATGATGACAACTCTTTATGGAATTTATCGTTAGAAGGAAGATATTGTCATGGATATATAAAAATATATATATATATATATATATATATATATTCCAATAATTACCTATGTAATTAAATAGAAGTAGATAAAAATAGATTAATTTCATAAAATCTTCTAGAGAAGCTTCAAAGATGCGGCTTTAATTTTATACTCGTTTGTAGGTTAGAAACTTAGTCAACAAGTTAGCCAATTGTAACATATGTTGGTAGGTTGTAGAACAAGCTAACTATGTGGTGCACATATAGAAAACTTTTCTTTGAAGTTAAGATATATGTCTCGCAATTTGAACACATGTCAAAGGTCTTATATAATGTTGTCATGTAGCTCTTAGTTAGATAGAATACATAGTGGCAAGAGTGAAGCCTTCTTCACTCTTATCAATTTCTTTCTAGTCCTTAGTCTTATTTCAAGACTTTCCAATCTTCTTGTTTTTGGCAATAGCTATTCTAGTTTAATATTATACAATCTTTGAGTTATTGTCTAGTCAGTTTGAGTGATACAAGAGTGTCTTGATCTTTCAATTCTTTGAGATTCATGTTCTTGACAATTTTGGCTTGTAATAGCACCATTACAATTAGAAAATTTACCATCAATTTAAAAAAAAAATATATATATATATATATATATATATACCTACCAATTACTAACATACAAAGTGATCTATATAGACAAATTTCATCACACTAATGTAAAAATAAAAGTAAAAAATTACCACAATCTTTTGTCATTAGTGGAATGAAAAATAAAAATATTCAGTAGGACTATGAGAATAAAAGTATGTGACAATTTGATTCAACAAGTGAGTTCATAAGTAAAAACGAGTTGTTATTTATGCAGAATGAAAATTCCAATTAATCGCCACATTGAGAATGTTGCATTTCAACTCCATTCAAACAAATTTCATGCAAAGTTGGCCTATTCTTTATTTGTAATGGAAATTTAGAAATAATTTTTATTTTATGTTTCAAATTTTTATTAAAATATTGGTGATAGCAATAGCAAATCTAACCATATAGATATAGTGTAAAATTCAACATCAACTACTTTTGTGCATACATCACCTCCACATTCTTCTCCCGAGTTGTATTTTATAATGGATCCTCACAAAACTTCAAAAACACAGACTCCCTGTAACCTCAACACGTAAAAATCGAGCCCAGCTTTTTACCAATGCAATAACGGGCGTTCCAAGATACGGTACCTACTTTAGGACTGGTTTGGCTAAGTGATAGTTTGAACGTGGTTTGGGATTCGGTTTAGGTGGGTATTGGACAGTTTTGATCTGGGTATCGGGGTGCTCGTCGAGGTTTCGAGTTAGGGTCTACTTCGTCTCATTTGCTTCAACTCAGCGACTTCTTTCTGACGATTGGGAAGTGAGGTGCTGGACATTTATGCCGGTGGACATTCTGGACGTTGATATAGATAAGTTTGCTGCACATGGATGCTGGTGCAAGGGGTCTTGAAGTTGGTGGAAACGGTGATGACGACTTGTGCTCTGAGAGTAGCGTGGAGAAATCATCGTCTGGGGGTATAGGGGGTCGTGTTCCTCAGATCGGGCTCGCCTCGTTGGTTGCTTATTGAATTGGGTCGTGGAGAAGAATGGCTGACGGTGGTGGAAATTCGGAAGAGCAGATACGAAGCGTGGATGGCCAGATACGAGACTTGAACGACCAGATTCAAAGCGTGCACGAGCAGATAAGAATAGTGGAAGAGAAGATAGGAAGATTGGAAGAGGAGATCAACAGATGCCCTGGCGATGAGGAGAGGAAGCTACTGCGGGGCAAGGAAGCGCTACTGCGCGGCGAGAAAGCGCAACTTCGGGACAGGGAAGCGCAACTCGGGGGCGAGAAAGCGCAACTCCGGCAACGACGAGGTCACTCCTATCACCCGTCACTTGTCATTGAAGGCCCATCTCCTCAGGTTCTTTTTCTTTTAATGTTTCCGGGGGGCTTCCGGATTACTGGGGGAAGTTTAATTTCATGGTCGTGGCATAGGTTAGGATAGTTCACTTCATTGACCTCGATTGTGCCGTAGCCGGTTCTTTGTTGCCGAACTAGGTGTTCTGGGTTATGTTTACTCTTTATTGTGGGTCGTTTGGAGGCGATCCGTCCATAGGGTTGTCCTAGAACCTGTTTGGATCCTCCTCGGATCGGTGACGCTTGTGAAGGTGCGTGTATATCAAGTTCAATCTTAGATTGTGTTGTGCATGCAGACCTGGGCACAGAATATGAGTGGCTGGTGCAGAAGGTCGTGCCGCCGACTCGCTCTTCACGGGCTGGCGTTTACCCAAGCAGCTCGAGCCATGCACGGATGTGGTTACCTGTCAGAGTAGAGCATTGGGATGTAATGAACGAGATCGAAGAATTTCTAGAAAGCGCAGATAGAAGGAGGCGTGTGTTTCGAATGGCTGTCACCGCTGTCACTCAGGACACTAGACTGGAAGAGAAGCATGAGAATCATCATATCGCTTTTATCCTGGGGGAAATGGTATCTTTTATGCAGAAGAAGGAGCCGCAGTCTAACCTTCACTTTAAGTCGGAATTCATTATCTTCAGCAAGAGAAAAGGCGGAAATGACGGGATAGGATCGAGTGAGGGTGCGAGTTCAAGTGCCATGGTTGACGTTTATTCCGGAAGCCCTAGAGCAGATTTCGTAATCACTTTAAAGGAGAAGAATGCTTTGGTCTTCGAGGTCAAGAATGAAGGTCTGGGAAGTGACGGAGATGACCCCTGGTTTCTCCACCGATTTTGGACAGACTGCTCTTGCACATCAGGTTCTATCTGGCCCTATCCCATATTTTCATAGTGTGTTCCAATTCTTACATTGTTGCAAGCATTCTGACAGAGGTTCCAATAATCGCAGGAGAGGGCAGGTGCGGGTTCGCCGTTTTTGGCATCACGCCATCTCAAGGTGAAAGGATCACCCGCTGTATTAGTCAGTTGTATGAGTACATGGTTCTGTAAGCTTCTTTTGAACCCCTGATTATCTCGGTAGTTTTTCCTCTTGGCTAGATTCGCTTGGAGCTCAGCGTTTACGTGCTTGGCCTTTGCCTTTTCCGATCCCAATAAACAGGAAACCCTTTTTCTAACAAGCTGCATTCTACTGCCTGTTGATCCTGGTTCTACGTTGACTCACTTAAGATGATCTTGTTCTCTTCTTCTTACTTGTATCCTCCCTTCGTCCTGCCAGTGGGATTTTCTCGTACCGTCTTGGTTTCCCGATCTACGTTTGGCAAAACGACATGGAATGCGTGGCAGTTCTCATTTTGCTATCCCTTTGCTCTGAGTTGCAGGTGTAAGGTGGGTTACGGTGTTCTAACCGATGCAAGAAATTGGTATCTCTTCAAACGGGATAATGCCGGCTGCCTCAAAATATCAGCTGGTATTACGGCGAGTGCTGAGCCCCCGCGTGTGCTCGCTGCGTTGTCATATTTGGTGCACGCTGCTGCAGTGGATAACTCTGAGTTTGGTGACCCAACGGGGAATGGCCAATTTCCCTTAGTTCATGAAGCTGCCCCCTCTGAACATTCCGACGAAAGCAGTGATGACGACATCAATGATCGAACCTTTACAGCACGTGTGAGCCAAAATATCTCTTCCTCTGGAAAACGAAGGTAACTTGTCCAGCCAGCTATTCAAGTTTGTTCCATGAAGTCGGACACGTAGTCGAGAGCAAATGGTGAAATGACAGCAACTGCATTTGCAGGTCTGAAAGACATAGCTCGGGTGGGGCGCAGCTGGCTTTGGAAGATGTCCCCGCGGAGGACCTGAACCTGAAAAAGGCGGGCGGTGTCATAAGTAGTGAGGGGTGGAGTGGATGCGTTGTTAATGGCCGTTTGCGTGGCCAACCTGTTGCATTGAAGTTTGCCCACTTAGGCACGGAACGTGCGGAGGTGAGCCGGAGTTGTGTCATGTGGAAATGTTGCGTTCACATCTCACAGTGGCTGCTACTTCATCTAATCCGGGGACTGAGGAGGAGAGGTCCTGTTTGTGACATCTTTACTGACAGGTAGTCTTTGGTAGATGCAACGTGGAGCATGCTGGTGTTCAAGTGCACGTGCAGTTTGCGGCACTTACCTGTTTGTGATCTGACTCTGCCCAGCCCATCTTTGGCCGCGCTTGTGCAGGCTCTCCTGAAGGAGGTGGTTGCCTATACGAGGATGGAGAAGCTTTGGGGGGTTTTTGTTCCTCGATTAATAGGATATGGAACCACAAATAACGGTCGGGTTGTATTTATCGCAACTGAATTGATTGACGGTGTTGAGCTTGGAGAAGGTAGGATTTCTTGCAAAACTCTCAGATGCGGAGCATCCTACTCTCCGTATTCTGGTCTTGAGGGTTTCTCGTAGCCTGGGCATGGTGATTCTATGAAGTGTGTTTTTTTGAAGGGCCAATACCTTTGACCACCTGCAATCTGCTGGCAGAGTTGTCATTTATTTGCCTTTTGTGGTGATTATGTTTCAGTGGCGGTGACCCGGGAGGTGGAGACTGCAGCGCTTGAAGCGCTTGCTGCAGTCCATGCATGCGGGTTGCTTCATGGAGATGTTTCCTTAAGTAACATTATGGTTGTGTGGGGAAAGAAGCCTACTGTCCGCATCCTGGATTTTGGCTTCTCGTGTATTACCAGCAACAAGAAGTTACAGGAGGCAGAGCGCGTGCGCTTAAAGCGTCTTTTTTTCACACATGGTGGAGCAGCGGGGGAAGAAGCAAATGATGCAAGATATCCTTATATTCTGCCTTGTTAAATGCAAGGCAAGCCCTTGTCCAAGGAACGTTCACTTATCTTGTTACAGCTAGAAGTATCGTGTTAATGGCATCAGAGCAGGGTCAACTCTCCATTTGGAGAGTGCTATCGTGCGCTTGATACTTTGCGGCGTGTCTAGAAACAGAGAGATCGTGAATTATGCATTTGCATCCATGCTCGACTAGGTCCAATTTGAACCAGCTGACAGATTCTGACTGGTTATGTGTATCTGTTGCTGAAGGGTTATATGTATCTGTAGAAATTGATGCCAGCAGGCAGGTAGGCGTGCACTATTTTTTGGTCTCAAAGACATACATTGATAAAACATGATGTGCAGAGGGGACGTTGGATGTACTTTTAAATAAAAGATTGGATTGTGACTTCTATTGTCAACTGTTATGTTGAAGTCCAGTGAGGGGAAGTTGCTTAGCAGTACACTAAGTAAAATCAACAGTGTATTACAAAATATGGATTTGTAATATAGAATATGGGAGGGAGAAAGGTAAAAGTCAAGTAAGAGAAGAGGGGGAGGAGGTGTGGTGATAATCACAAATCTTGGGTGTACATATTGCATCATCTTGTCATTCAATACATGAGGCTAGTAGGTGGTTCCAATTGGTCATTTTTCTTGTCTACAAGTTTCATTAGTAGTGCCAAATCATGTAGCCATAGGTTGCTTAGATGGGTATGGTGGATTTTGAATCTAAACCAATGCCATGGTGTGAAGTGTTTAATTAGTTGGATTTTCGTGGCTTGGCAATTAGAGTGATGTGTACATGAGATTTGAATTCTTTTGTTTTGTTTTTTGTTTTTCTTTTTTCTTTTTCTGTTATATATATATATATATATATATATGTAAATATTTATTATTATTATTATTATTATTTTCTCCCCTGCTAATGTTTAAATTTCACCTAAACTTGAAGTTTCTTTCATATATCCACTTAGATTCTCAATTTTCTTTCTGTAGATAAATTATTTTGTGAGAGCAAGGTTAAATTTGTAAAAATAAATATATGAAAAAGAAAACATGGAAGAAGAAACCAAAGCATTTAGTAAGAAAGGAGATGGAAAAGAAAATCTAAATGCTTTGGTTAAAAAAAAAGCATGGGGAGAAAAATTCCATCAAGTGTTTAATCAATAAAGAGGCATGGAGAGAAAAAGTACAATGGAAGTTGGAATAGGTTAAAGTACAATAGAGGGTTGATGGAGAAGATAGAAAGAGAGGTTGGAGTATGCTAACAAAATCTAGAGGGAAAGGGAAGATGCATAGTTTATATTACAGTTTGAGTTATAAAGCTAATACAATTTGAACAATTTTTAGTTTTTAATTTTTAATTTTTTTTTATATCATTCAAATAGAAATAGCATAAGTAAATTTTTTTACTCCATTAGAATCACAACCTTTGATAATGGGAGGATAGGTCACCTCTAAATTCTAAAATTCCAAAAATATAAGAATTTATCAATTTTAAAATTTCTTTTTAAAACCTCCATATCATCCAAATCATATATTCTTTGAAAAATTGAATACACCACTAAATTCACAACATTTCAAAATAGGAGAGTAAGTCTCTTCAAAATGTTGAAATTCTTCATCAAAAATAGAAATCAACTCTACATCTCAAAATCAAAGTGTTTTTATCTATCAAATGATAAAAGCATAAGTAAAGTTAATTGCACCATTGGAACCACAACTTTTAAAAATAGGGAGGGTGGATAAATTCAAAATTTCCAAAAAAAGTATGTAAATTTTTTGAAAACACACATTTAACTCTAAGTCTTAAACCTAACTCTGACTAATGGTTGTGGATATTTGCTAAAGAACAAAATTTACATAGATTGTATGGGCGTTGCTCGACACTATATTGGCCTCTACATGACTAATTGGAGAGAATATATACAATCCACTTGATAGATATTTTTTAAGATTTAAAGTTTAATAATTAGAACTTTATGTATATTTCAAACTTTTGACATTTTTGTAATGAGACATCTTAAATACTAAACCCTAAATCCTAAATCCTAAACTTAGAAATACACATGTAATTCTAAATCCTAAAACTTAAATCTAAAAACACACATATAACTCTAAACCCCAAATTTTAAAACCTAGTTTATTATGACTAATTTTTCAAGGTGATTGTAATTGTATATAGCATATTTGTGGGTATTGTATTAATCTCTAAGCAAAAATGTGTCGCAAGTATTTTTTAAGAAAGCCAAAACTTTGATTATTGATTTCATAAGCAACTTTGATTCAATTTTAGCAAATTTTGAGTCTAATATGATTGATGTTTCAAGGCAATTCTAATGGTATATAGCACGTTTGTGGGTTTTTTTTAATAAATCTCTAGCTATGAGCAAAAATGTGTGGCAAATTTATTTAAAGAAAGCCAATTCTTTGATTATTGATTATGTATGCAAATATGATTTAATTTTTAAAATCTTTGAGTCTAATGCGATTGATTTTTTAAAGTAATTTCAATAGTGATTAGTATATTTGTGGGATTTTTCATAAATCTCTAGATATGAGCATAAATATTTTTCAAATTTATTTTAAGAAAGTCAAATCTTTGATTGTTGAATTTGAGTGCAATTCTTGTTGGATTTTTTTGATTTTTGAATCTAATATGAAGGATTTTTCAAGATGTTTGTAATTGTATATAATAAATTAATGTTAAATTATAAATTTATTATTATAGATCTTAAATTTTAAATCTTAAGATTCTAAAATCAACTCTAAATCCTAAAAACTCAAATTCTTTATATCTTTTAAATAGAAATAGCATAAATAAATGATTTTACTCCATTGGAATCAAAATCCTTGATAATGGGAGGATAGGTCACCTCTAAATTCCAAAATTCCAAAAACATAAGAATTTATTGATCCTTAAGTTCACTTTTAAAACCTCTATAACATCTAAATTATATATTTTTTAGGAAAACTAAATATACCATTAGATTCACAACATTCCAAAGTATGGGAATAAATTTCATCAAAATATTAAAATTCTTTATTAAAAATAAAAAAAAAACAGAAAAGAAAAGAAAAGAAAAAATAGTATCTAAAAATCAAAGAATGTATATGTATTAAATGAAAGAAGCATAAATAAAATTAAATTGCATCATTGGAACCACAATCTTTAAAACAAGAAAGATAGGTTAATTCAAAATTCCAAAATAAGTATGTAAATTTTTTAAAGAATACACATATAATTCTAGATCTTAAATCTTAAATCATTTTATTTTAAATCCTAAATCCTAAATCTGGCCACTTTATTTGATAATATAATGCAAATTGGCATATCCATGTTTAATACATTTCATAGGCTTTGCACTTACAAATCATTAGTGCAAGGTGTAAATTCATGTGTGTTTGATAGATTTTATTTTTGGGCCTTAAATCCTTTAAGTCCGTTTACACTTGTACTTATAGATCTTAAATCTTAAACCCTTAGTCACACTTGTAATTTCCAAACTTTAGTCATATACTTTGGACCCTAAGCTTGATTCACATTCATACTTGTACATCCAAAAATTCCTTAAAGCCCATTTACACTTGTATTTGTAGACCTTAAACCTCTTTAAATCTCGTTTATACCTATGGCAATAGACCTTCAACTCTAAATCTTGTTTACATTCCCACTAGTAGATACTAAAGTTCTTACACTTGCATTGGTAGATCTTCAATCCTAAACCTTATTCACACTCATGTTGGTAGACTCTCAACCTTAAACCTTGATTTGACTTGTACTAGTAGGCCCTAAATTCCTTATATTCCATTCACTCCCACACTTGTAAACCCTCAATCCATTAAATCATGTTCACACTCACATTTGTAGATCTTGAACTGTACTCCATTTATACTTGCACTAATAGAACCTCAATCTTAACCACACTCCATTTATACTTGTAATAATACATCTTCAATTCTATACTGCACCTCGTTCACTCTTGTATTTATGGACCCTTAATTCTTTAAATCCTATTCATGCTCACATTGATAGACCCTCAATTCCTTAAATTCCATTCACACTTGATTTAATATACCCTAAATCTCTAAAATCCCACTCACACTTATACTTGTAGACCTTGAATCTACTTAAATCCCATTTATACTCACATTTGTAGACCTTAAATCTCCTTAAACTCCATTCATATTTGTATTTGTAGACCTTAAATTTTCTTAAATTTGATTTACACTCGTTCTTATAGACCTTAAACTCCTTTAAATCCCATTTACATTAGCACTTGTAGACCTTCAATCCTAAATCTCGTTCATACTCATGCTTGTAGAACTTGAACCCCCTTAAATCCCATTTGACACTCATACTTTTTATAACCTTGTGTCTCTTCAACCGTAGATCCAATGAAGGTTTCAAATATGTCGTTGGAATCAAAAGCATGACAAACACAGAGGCACATCCGTTTAAAATCTCCAAAATAGAAAACACACAAAAAGTCAATCCTCAAATCCATATCAAATGCAACGCCTTATATCTTAATATTGAGAAACTATAGAGCAAGTTATTCACACTACATAATAGGTAGATCCTATAAATAAAGAAGCAGGTCAAATTAAATCCTGAAATATTCTTCTTCAATTGCATACATCAACTCAAATACCTTGAATACTAAATATCTAATATTATCCTATTTATACACATCCACAATAATTTATTCACATGTTTATAATTATTAGCCCTCAAATCGATCCAATGTCTTTTTCAAAACTTTCAAATGCACCTTATATCACAAAAGTCAACTATCTTAGAGGCAAAGTCAAACCTCTTTATATCTTATAAATTAAAAATTGGTAGAGCAAGTTGTTTGTACTATTGGAATTGTAGATCTCAAAAATAGAGTAATATGTCAACTCAAAATCCAAGAATAAGGAGGTTAGTAAATCCAGGTACATCCTTGTAATCCTAAATCCTAAACCTTATAAATGGGCATACATTTTTAATCCTAAATCCTAAATCCTAAATCCTAAAAATCCTAAACTCCTAAACCTTGACTCTATTGTAATTAATTTTTCAAGGCAATTACAATGGTATATATCAAGTATATGTTAAATTATAATTTTATTATTATAAATCCTAAATCCTAAATCCTAAGATTCCATAGTCAATCTTAAATCCTAAAAAGTCAAATTCTTCATATCTTTCAAATGGAAATAGCATAAGTAAATGTTTTTATACCATTGAAATCACCACTATCAAAAATGAAAGAATAAGTCACCTTCAAATTTCAAAATTCTAAAAATATAAGAAATTATCAATTCTAAATTTTATTTTCAAAACCTCCATATTATCCAAATCATATACTTTTTGGAAAAACTAAGTATACTATTAGATTCATGATATTTTAAAATATGAAGGTAGGTAACT